ATGACATTCATCCCCTGTATGTACTATCACATGACATTCATCCCCTGTATGTACTGTCACATGACATTCATCCCCTGTATGTACTATCCCATGACATTCATCCCCTGTATGTACTGTCCCATGACATTCATCCACTGTATGTACTGTCACATGACATTCATCCCCTGTATGTACTGTCCCATGACATTCATCCCCTGTATGTACTGTCCCATGACATTCATCCCCTAGATGTACTGTCACATGACATTCATTCCCTGTATGTACTGTCCCATGACATTCATCCCCTGTATGTACTGTCCCATGACATTCATCCCCTGTATGTCCTGTCCCATGACATTCATCCCCTGTATGTCCTGTCCCATGACATTCATCCCCTGTATGTCCTGTCCCATGACATTCATCCCCTGTATGTACTTTCACATGACATTTATCCCCTGTATGTAATGTCACATGACCTTCATCCCCTGTATGTACTGTCCCATGACATTCATTCCCTGTATGTACTGTCCCATGAGATTCATCCCCTGTTTGTACTGTCACATGACATTCAGCCCCTAGATGTACTGTCCCATGACATTCATCCCCTGTATGTCCTGTCCCATGACATTCATCCCCTGTATGTCCTGTCCCATGACATTCATCCCCTGTATGTACTGTCACATGACATTTATCCCCTGTATGTACTGTTTCATGACATTCATCCCCTGTATGTACTGTCACATGATATTCATCCCCTAGAGTAGATGTACTGTCACATGACATTCATCCCCTGTATGTACTGTCACATGACATTCATTCCCTGTATGTACTGTCACATGACATTCATCCCCTGTATGTACTGTCACATGATATTCATTCCCTGTATGTACTGTCCCATGACATTCATCCCCTAGATGTACTGTCCAATGACATTCATCCCCTGTATGTACTGTCCCATGACATTCATTCCCTGTATGTACTGTCCCAGGACATTCATCCCCTAGATGTACTATCACATAACATTCATCCCCTAGAGTAGATGTACTGTCACATGACATTCATCCCCTAGATGTACTATCACATGACTTTCTGTAGTGCCCTGTTAAAGGATAAGTATTGGTATCATCCAGGATTGTCATACAAATTGAAGACACTTTGACCTGATACGACCCTTGACATGGCTACATATAATAATTAAAGGTGTAACAAAGTATCATTCTGAAGATCATCAATAGCTGTCTAAGTTTTACAGAATTTTACATGTCCTTGAACATTTCCAAGGAAACTGGTAGACTTAATTACTAAAAGCATTGATTGACTTATATTAAACTAGGGTTTGTTGATTGAAACTAAGTAAAGTCTTCTAAACCTATATTGATTTGTCCCATACTTTCAGGGGTAGATTCCAGTTTGTACCTTTGTCCCCTTACCGAGCACACATTTTGTCCCCTTACCGAGCACACATTTTGTCCCCTCGCCAAGCACACATTTTGTCTTGCTGTCTCCTCCCCTTGGATTGATCAGTATTTTTTATGTAATATATTTCAATATTAAAATCTACAAGATATATATGTACAAGATACAAGAAACTTTACTTAGAGTCACAAACATATAAACAAGAAACACTAGCTTTTGTGATCTATTATATCTACCAACATATAAACAAGAAACAATAGCTCTTGTGATCTATTATCTACAAACATGTAAACAAGAAACAATTGCTCTTGTGATCTATTATCTACAAACAAATATATGTATGGAAACAATAAAACTTGATGATGTCACATGTAACGGACGAAATCACTGTTATTATGAAAACGGATTTTATTCCAACCACAATTAAAAACGTATCATTCCAGGTTTCTAATTGATTGGGAACCCCCCCAAGACCTGACACTTTAGGTACATCATATTATTATATGAACAGTGTTGATATGAAATTTTAATTCAAATAAAACAAAGCAGCATGAAGTGGGATCACAGATACGTAATATTAAGAATAAATTACTTGAGAAGACATAGTTTAAAAATGAACACTTGCATGTCACAGAGGTATTAGATAGTACTAAGGATTCAATCACTTTCAAGTAAAATGTACATACAATGTTAATACATAATGCGAAAGTATTATTCTACCATTAGACCATGGCAATGTGAAAAACAAGACGGTCTTTGTAAAATGTCAGTACAATAGACCGTATGTTTATGCAATGTTATTAACCTGAAGTAGCAAAAGTTTTCCAAATATTTTTAAATGAAGTATTAAGGTAATAGGATTGTGTCACCATTCCTCAGTAGAATTTCTTCAAATTTTGTAGTTATATTGCTTTGAAGTAAAGAAAATATTCTGCCACAAAAAAAATATAGGTTGTCAGAATTTTAAGGATTTTAAATTTATGTAAAAAGGAGTTAATTTTGAAAAAAAATAATGAAACGCACAATTTTTTGCAAAATAAAGTCAATAAAAATTATACTGACACAGATAAGTATTGCATTAATGTATATCAATTTCATAAATGCTGAAATTGTGTAAAATTAATTATTTATAAACGATTAAAAATTGACATTTTGTAATAAAACCATATGCACATAGTAATTGCATGTACAAGTTATCGTTCTTGAAAAACTTCACAGTAATGAAATAAGTAGCTGGTTTCCTGAAGTACAGAAAAATGGACACATGTGACTGATTGTTTAAAAAACAACTGAATTAATGCCTGCATTGCTTTGAAATACTTTAATATTGAGAGAAAACACTGTTCTGTCAATAATAAACATACAATATTCATCAGTTTAATATTAAACATTAGAATATGCGGATATTGTGATACTGTCTCCCTACATTGGATTTTCAACTAGGGATGTACTTCCTATTTCCGTTTATTAATACACTCCTATGACCTTAAGCAGGATTAGTTTTTTTTTCTAGTTTTATTAATTTCCTTAATTTACCGAGATACAATGGTGCTGTGTATTAGGTACTGTTGACAGACTACACATCCTAGTGTTAGAAATGATATTTGTCTGAGTGGTAATTAAGTTGTAACCAGAAATTGAATATTTTACTTTTTCAAAAGTGTTTTGAAAGTTAATGAATTGCAAACTAAGACTGGAGACTAAAGATAGAGGCTGGTGTGGAGGCTAACCCTAGATGACCTCTGTCCACTACCCAGTAGGACCTGTTTG